AGAATGAACGCAGTAGAAATGCGGTCGTTAAGGAGTATGTTAGGGCTGAATCTTAATGACAGGGTAAGAAATTGTGTAATAAGAGAAGAGTGTGGTTTGCAAGATGATGTTGTGACCAGGATTAAGAAAGGAATGCTTCGGTGGTTTGGTCATGTGGAAAGAATGAATGAGGAAAGAGTGACAAAGAAAATTTATGTTGCAGAAGTGAATGGCAGAGTCGGAAAGGGACGTCCTAGGCGAAAATTTATCGACCAAATTGGCGATTTATTGAAAACGGGCCAACTTAGGAGTACCCTTAACCGACGAGCATGTATGCGGAGGTGTATGGATGTGAAGGAGGCGAGAGAGGTGTGTCAGGATCGTGCCAAATGGAAGTCTGTAGTCTCTGCCTACCCCTCTGGGTGACAGGCGTGAGTGTTTATGTTATGTTATGTTATGTTTTCTATTATTGGCACAGGTATTGTCAAATTAACCGAAAATTGTATCGGTTATTCCAAGACTATTCAATTATTGCCAACAAGTACTTATCAATTTTCGATTAAATCAACCATAGATATAAGTTTTGATATACCTAACGAAAGATGATTGTTGCAAAAAGGACATATTTAATAAAAGTTTACCACATTTAACTGCAATCTCTTTAAGCAAAGTTAATTTGGATTCTTTAAAATATGCAAATCATCAACTAGATAATTTAGAATTTGAATTAAATAATCTCTAAACGGAATCACATTTAATTAAATATGGTTCATACTATTCCACATTTACTTATGTTTTAATTGTACTACTATTTTTATAACTTGCCTATAAATTATTTAAATGCTGCAGAAATCGTCACGACAATACTGGATATTGTATACAAATACTTAATCAATGTAATAATAAAAAGTCATCGAAACATAATTCTAAAATTACAAATTCAATTGAGATGACCGATAAATCGACATCTGAAGAAGATAATATCTCGCTAAAATCTTTACCAAATTGTACTAATTATAAGCCTTATAAAAAACTGTACACGAGGTTCACTCTTCCTCTCGAAGAAATCTTAATTTATAATTTTATTCAATTTTAGTTTTTAAATTTTTATATTAATACAAATAATCGATTTTATTGTCATATAATTTTAATTTCTACTTCGTCATTTTATATTTTGTAATTGCTATATTTTACTATTTTTAATGCAATCTATGTAATTGTTATTCGAATTACAACTTCGTTTAATACAAGTTAATTTCTAATTTTACTATTTCATTTAAAATACTTTTAATTTTAGATTTTACTATTTCAATTTTATATAATTTTATTGCTTAATTTTATTTTGATAATTTCTTGAATTTTACTCTGTCTCTTTTGTATAACTTAGTTACGAATAATACTATTGTATCTTTGTGTAAAATTTAATAGTTCGAAAATTTTTATATTGTTATGAGATTGATTTGTAATATTTTACTACAACTTTTAATTTCCTATCGCCATATTTTGTAATACCTTCCGACCTCTAATCACTTTTCTATTTCGAAACTTCACTTTATCTTAATTTAGAAAAAGCTCAGTCAAAAGGGGGGAGCTGTTATATCCCATTTTACAAGGCAGTAAAACTTTAGTAAGCATTTATTTAATCACACGGTACTTTTCCTTAATATGGCAATAGTCAGCAATTATATTGTTTGTTTTAATTCCATTTTTAATGATCAGTTATACTCGGAGCCCCGGGTAGATCGAACATAGTGTTACGCGTCTAAGTCGACGGCACTACGAGAGCGAGGGGAGCTTTCCAGAAAATGACATCACTAATCTTTCAACCGACAGCGCCATCTAGTCCCGAACCGAAGAACTAAACTTCTAGAAGTTGAAACTCGAACTCTCGATACCTTGCGCGTGTTTACTTGAATATTCTGTATGTTTTCGTTGAAGAGCCCTATATAAAGGCGCTGAAATACGTGATCGGGGAAGTATTGAATTCGGCGAGACAAGAGAAGCTTCCGAGCGAAATAAATTGAATCAGTGTGATTAATTATTGGTGTTTTAAGTTTTAATTAGTGTAAAGAAAGTGTTAATTTAGGTAATTCTATCGGCAATTTTTATTGTCACGAACCTCAAGCTCGTAACAATAGATTCCAAGACGTATTAGAGTTTGGAATTCAGGGACTATATTAATTTGGTGTGTGAACTTTTGTAATAAACATTTATGTTTAATTAGTGTTTTTTTTTAAAATGTCAAACGGGATCGGCCTCCTAACAGAACAAATCAACCGATTTTACCGAATTGGCGGCGATAGACGTGGTTTTTCAATGCTAAAAGCAGATTCGTTTTTGAAACCGATCGGTAAAGCCGTTTAAGAGCTATTCCAAAAAAACAGTTTCCAAAATTTTTATTTTAGCACACACACACATACACACACACACACACACCCACACACACCCCACACACACACACACACACACACACGCACGCACAGATACATCAAAAATATTCGGGGTGGCTATCTGTAACCTCAAAACGTCAAGATTTGATGAAAACTCATTTTTGAAAATCAGGGTAATAACAATAACCTCCCGATTTTTTTTGAAAATTTTCAATATTCTTAACGGGAAGTAGAAAATAAACTTGTTTCTTTCATGATTCGTTTAATTTAAGGGATTTTAAAAATAAAAAAATAATTAAACAAGTAACACATTAAAAAATTAACGATTCGATTATTTGAATATTTCTATCTATTAGTTGAATATATTTATTTGCCAATTTTTCGCATAACATTGAATTTTAATCATCCAAACACTACGGTAAGAAAGACAGAGGAAATGACGTCAAGTAAAAAGGTTGATACTGGTTTTTTTATATTTTGCTTTGTTTGAAAGATTCGATTTTAAATTAAAGTCTGGCCGCTCAGAGAATGCGATCCTGATAGGTCGAGATCGAACGGACGATGTAACTTTGGAGAGTTTTTGGCGGGAACGTTACCGTCAACGGATTGTCGCCCCTGTTTTGTCGCTTGAATAATGATTAAAGTGGATATTGATTCGTGAAAGTGATGCAATTTTATGAATTAAGTGTCTGCGCGTGTGTGAACTATTAGAGAAAACGACGAAACTGGTGCTTCGATGTTGATATAAACCCCAAGATATTTTGATCGCTTGGGCGCCTTATTAACTTGAGGGGTTGTCGTTATCAACTGTCCTCTGGGTAGAGATGTCGTCAAAATCTCCATAAAACTTCGCAATGGGACGCATCAGCATATTGTGAAGAAGAAATATATAAAAATGAAGATTCCGAAGGAAATGATAGGCTCAGAAAGGTTAGAACGCAGAGCCGTAAAGCCAGTAAAAAAAATATTGCAATATATTCGTAGAACATGGAGTATGGAGTGTAGAAGTAAGGAGTACCAACTCTCATAACAGAATAGTTGAAAAAGTGGTCATCTGTAAACAGTAAATAACAGTTTAAGAACTCTCCACAACAGCGCTGGAGTAGCTACTGGGATGAAATAAACTTAGCAGTTGTCGACGGTTTAAGTATGCTGCTAAGCTGCTCAGTAGCTCTAAAATCTTAAATAATTTTATTTATTAAATATAACCTCGAAAAAGTCGTCTATCCCACTAATATGTTTCGGTGCGTTCTTTAAAATTTACCCCGTAGTTATAGTGGCACCACCCTTATTGAACGGTTTTCTATGGACACTTTTTAATACATATCTGCACTCCTTACTTCTACACTCCATACCATGGAGCGTAGACAGAGAATGCTATTAAAGATTGCTTGATCTCTACGAAAAATCACAGAATTCCGAATTTCTTATATAAGACAGTTCTTGTTAATGACATACTTATGGCATGCCGACATTAGTCATGCCCTTAAAGTATGACATTGACAGGTACTGTCTGATCTGTACTACTAAAAATTCAGCTTCATAGGCGTGATTTTTAGATCTCTTCGCAGAGATCAAGCTATCTTTTATGAATTATGGATTCTCCGTCTACGCCATGGAGGTTTCCATGTCGTAGACCATGGAGGCTAGAGAACAGGAGAATGATCGTTGTAGAAAATAGTGTCTCGGAAATATTGACAAAATAATTGAGGCGCTGCGACCGCTAAGTTGTCTCAATAAAAGCAGGGTGTTGTGCGCTAGTTTGAAATGATTATAATATCATTGAAAGAAAAAAAAATAACGAAATTATTATTTAATATTAATTAAATAATAATAAATTATATTTTTTATAATTTCAATTATTGTACATAATTACTTACCGACGGCAGCGCGCTCAAAAATTCTACAAATTTTCAGAGACAGGTGGGCTATGCCTTATTACGTAGCGATCGTCCTCCCGTCCTCTAACTTCCATGTCGTAGACAGATAATGTTAGTTTCAGGGAGTTTTGGCGTGAACTTGGCCGTAGACAGACTGTTTTTTCGCTTAAATAATGGTTTGAAGTGGATTTTGATTCGTAAAAGTGATGTGATTTTGTGAATTAAGTCTGCGCGTGTAAACTATTAGAGAAAACGACGAAACAAGTACTTTGATGTTGATATAAACCTGAAGTTATTTTGATCGCTTGGGCGCCTTATGAACTTGGGTGGCTGTCATCATAAACTGTCCGTTGGGTTGAGCTGTCGTCGAAATTCCCCAAAAGCTTCGCAATGTGACGCATCAGCATATTGTGAAGAAAAAATATATAAAAATTAAGATTCTGAAGGAAATTATAGGCGCAGAAGGGCTAGAACCCAGAGTCGTAAAGCCAGTTAAATAAAAAAAGATAATTTCTGTCTACGAATATATTACTCTACAGTATCTATGGTTTATTTTTATTGTTTGTAAATAAAACATTTACAATTAGATTTCTTACATAAAGAAAATTATATAAATATGAATGAAAAACTTTATAGATTAATGTTGTTACGGCGTAGATACTGCAAACGAGGGATATATATGTTAATTTTGTTCACAGCATCGTTTTATGTATATATTTTACTATTTGGTAATTTAAAATCGCCGCAAGTAATGCATTTAACCGATTTGCATCGCTGTCCTGCTTGTTATGGCGTATCTATTTGCCCGGAACTGTATTCCAACCAAATAATTCTTCAGAGTGAACGACATTGGTCAGGAGTATTTAACGCCAAAAATATTTATTACGGTTACACGAAATCTAATAGAAAAATTATTCTAAAGAAATTGGCACATGACTGGGAATTAAGAAAATTTGACTCAAATATTTGCAAGAAGTTGAATTTAAAAGATGATTGTAAACCAATTCATCTTTTAAACTCATCAAATGTTGATGAAAAACTATTATCAATTGTTCAATTCAACTTTACTTGGCCTGATTCAGAACCACGAAAAGGGCTTGTGATGTGCCCTTATGCATATAGTATATATGATTTTATAAAACCACTTCTTGACAAACGGACATTAAATTATAAATCTGAAATGATAAACATTTGGACTATGCTTAGTATAAACCCGGAGCCTATTATATTGCAGGTAATTTTAAGTGTTATGTTATATGTCTGAATAATTTCTTTTAAATAGTTTTGATAAAACATCCAATAAAATCAAATATGATACAGATTCTTCCAAAATCTCATGGCTGGCCTGTTCCAACATATGCTGGCGTTTGTGGAAGGTTAGAGGTTGTAGCTCATGAAGGAGAACCAATTTCATCATTGCTGCATATAAAATGGCATAGAAAATTGAAATATGCTAAGAAAATACTTGATGCTGCAATGGACTTTACATTTAAACATGACAGGCAAGATTCAAAATCTTATTTTTTATAAATATAGCTCACATATTAGTTTTTTAAATTTTAAGGTTGTAGAAGACTAAAATAAAATTTACAAAATAATTTAAAATAAAACTTATTTTGTAAAATTTATTTTAGTCTTCTGGAGTATTATTATGCATATTGTTATAAATAATGAATGAATAATAATGTCCTTCAGACCTTTTGGTCATGGCGGCTAGTCTTAACATAGACTAGCCATCAGCGCATGACAGGATTATAGTTTCTAAGTGTATGCCCAAGCAAAGGTGCACCCTCTATTCTTTCATTTTCATAGTCTGATGGGACGGTAAACCGACACGACGGTAAACCGACACGACCAGAGAGAGATCAGGCCCAGGATCAACGGCTTTATGTGCTTTCCTTGGCACAGGGGTCAGACACAGCCAATTTCTTGACTCCGGGTGGCTAGTGAGAATATCGATGGAAAAACTAAAAAAACTGATTTTTTTGGCCCCACCTGGGTTCGAACCTGGTACCTCATGATCAGCAGTTGCACTACGACAACCACTAGACCAATGAGGCAGTCAAAAAAATAAGTACATATTTTGAAATAAAAATTATTAACCTTAAAAAAATGCTTATTGTGCAATGGAAGTAATAATAGTATATTTTTTACAGATTTCGTTTTTATTTAATGGATTGGTCGTTAGATAACATTGTGGCCAATGAAAAGGATGAAATCTCATTTGTTGATCTAGAAGATGTTATTGTTTTAGATAAGCACATTTCACCCAGAAAAGATTTGGCTGATTGGTATCAACGGTATAACAGGGAATTAGTTGGACCTGGTTTCACATTCTCAATTGAGAACATGTGTAAACATCATTTAAGTGACCACAACTTGTGGGCAGCTTGCTACATTATAGCTGGTGATGACAAACCTTTACTGTATCCTATTCCGAAAACCATTAATGCATCTCGACCACACTTAGACAAACTATTATATGAATGTTTAAATAGTGATGATAGATTTAAAACAATAAGTAAGCTTCAACATTATATAAGTGACATGTTGTTAGATGAAAAACTGCTCGGACTTACAACTGTAAGGTGATGAAGAATGTTACAAAGAATAGAATGTCTTTTGCATCATTTTGCATAGGCAGTACCCTCATGCAACTTTTGTTAGCTACAAGATTAAATATAAGCTTTAAATAATATACTCAACAACTCTATTGTCTGTGATTTGTTATTTTAATATTATTTAATCACAATAATAATAATTTTAACATGTTTTTACTTTTCTTATAAAAGGTGACCTGAAGATGCTAAAAGGTTATCATTATAATCAGAATATTATTTCACTATTTAACAACTACTTGATTAATTCAAAGTGTTCAATACGAATTTCCCCCATTGTTATTGTAGTCCCCCGGATTGAAAGAGTGGTGGGTGCTATGCAAAAACTGCTGCCCAATCTGCGGGGACCAAGGGAGGAAGTCCTCCGCCTCTATGCTGGGGTAGTGCGGTGCGTAGCCTTATATGGGGCGCCTGTACGAGCGAAAAGGCTAGCCATCAGACGCTGTAGAACTAAAATCTACATTGTCCACCGGAGGATCATGCGAGGATACCCGAATGATATCCTTTGAGGCGGCAACGGTCCAGGCTCGCTTTCCACCCCTAGATATACTGGCGGATATCGATGCGAGGGTGTACAACCGAATGTGCATTCTCCGTCAGGGAGGTGGCAGTGAGCCAGATGAAGCGCTCGAGTCCATAAAACGGCAGGAGCGACAGAACGCTTTGACGACATGGCGTACTCGACTTAACGAGAAGTGCTATGCACGGAAACGCGTCATTGGCGCAATTCTGCCGGTTTTCGAAGCCTGGATGCAGCGACGAGTAGGAAGACTCACCTACAGACTTACACAGATAATTATCGTGCACAGGTGCTTCGGTGATTATCTGTATAAGGTTGGACGCGAAGCGACGGCAAACTGCTTTCACTGTGGTTATATCGACAATTTATTATGTTTGGCTTACCTAGCATGTAAAATTTGATCCCTACTTTTGCGTGCACACTGTCTACGTAAGTACTGCCTTTTCTGCTCTTTTCGCCTTTATTTGAAATACATCCTCATAATCATTGGAGTCTCTCTTCCCTTTTAATAGTTTATTTATATCATTACAGTAATTGTTTGAAAAATCTGCAAGATAAATTTATAATAAATTCTATAATTTTGTCTTTGTGTTGACCACAATTTTAAAAATCAAATTCTATATGTAGAAATAATATAGTTTTAATGAATTCTTTTAGATTTTAATAATATAAATATGACGTTTCAAAATTTCGTTGGTAATGTCTTGCATTGCAGATATGCAAGAGAGGAGAGATTCGGAAGGACAAGCCAACGTCTGCCAGCATATTCTCGGCATTTAATATATTCATTTTCTTGAGAGGCAACCATGTCCTTAGCGCATTGCTGCCAATTTTTAAATATTTTCTCCCTAGCACTGTGTACAAAATATCCACTCACATATTGTAGAGCGCCTAATACTCGAGGATTATTTTTCTTTTGACTTAGGTCAGTTACTTGCACTGTGGGTATGCTCTCAATTTCACTGGTCACCGTGGCTTGGCAGTCATCTATCATGAAGGTGTATAAAACTTCACAATAGTCTTTTTCACAATTTGCCCCAGGGGCATGGACACTAGATGTTATTTATTAATAAGCTAGTGTAGGCACTTTCAAACCTTTCTGTTGTGGTGTTTGTGTTACGGCACCCATGCCTTATATAATAGCCCTGAAAAAGTTTTCTATGGGGTCTTGGTTTAGGTGCCGCATCCAAACAGAATCTATGCCATAATCATTTTTTTAAATATTTGAACACCATCTAGTATCTATACCTAATTTTCTTTTAAGTAGTAGTATATTTTTTTAAGTAGGGACTTTCTCAGCTTTACCTGTTACAATGTTAGTAGATTTCATATTTTTTAATTCTATTTTAGCCTTATTCCATACATTATTATGACAAGAATTTGGTCTTGCAGGTCCTAGTAATGGTTTTCCATGTTGTGTTCGCTTTGTATAACTCCCGTTTAAAGAATCAAATAGTTTATAAAAAAAAGGAGAACATCAGCTGTCTCTTTACATTCTTCGGGGAGATTCCTTTGTCTGTGAAAAAAAATGTCTTAGCAACATAAATACGAATGTAAATACTATTTGTAGCTCGAGCAGTATTATGTATCTATCTAAACTCAAGATGAGTACAACATTTGACAAAATAATATGAAAAGTTTGTGTAGATTAGATAGAAGTGCATTCGGATCTTAGCAGGCTCTTCCAAATACCACGACCAACTGCCGCAATCACCGCCGTGGTTGTTAGGTCGCGCCTGTCGGGCTGTAACTGCCGCAATCTAAATGCTACCTTTATTCACAACATTAAAAGTTCTTAATACATGATGAGTAATTAATGTATAAAGGTACTTCATTTTACCTGCTTAATATCCCATGTTGGATGCTACTGTTTGATTGAAGATTTGTGTGGCATATTTGACCTTCATTTTGGAAATTTTATTTGGTATGACATGATTGTCTGTAAGATTTGGCATTAGCCTTATATCTTAGTATCCAGGGTTTTCTTTGAGTAGCAATTCTATATGGTGCCATTTTGCTGTTCGCATTTGCTGATCACTTGCTACATATGTTAGGGTTTTCGTTATTAAATTATTACGAGTGCATTTTATTAGATGGGGAGGGTCATATAGTGGAATAACTTCCTGATCATTGACAAGAAACATTCTCCATAGGCTCGGCGTCCGGACTTTATAAAAATCTCTCTTGTCTCCTGTATTAAAAGTTTAATGGCATGCCTATTATTGGTGCCTCGATCAGACACTGTTGTTATAACAATTAGCCCAGCCTCTTGTAATTCTTTAATTACTTCTTTGAGTTGCACTGCTAATTCCGGTTCACTTGTTGCTCCTGCAGAAAATGTATATGATACGGGTTGTTTATAATTTTTTATCAATCCCCGTATCATGAACACTTGTGCATGATCAGCATAGTCAGGTCTAGTTTTCCGGCCACCAGTGGCGAAACCAATTACCCTATCTTTTCGCTTATTATAAGTTACATTGGCTTTCAATGTCATTTCATCGAATAAAACTATGCACAGTCTCTCTTCAACTTTAAACTTTTCTGTAGCTTTTTTGATATGAGCTAATATTCTTTTATTTATCTGTATACTATTCTGGCTTTACATTTGCATGGCTTAAAAGATTTGTGAGAGTTCGTGGAGTTGGCAAGATGAATATTTTTCTTAAAAATCTATGGCACTTTGGACTTTGTTTTAAAATTGACAAAGCTACAATTTTTTCCTCTAGAAAAAATCGTCGACATTTGTACTTCTTTTTAATTTCCCTGAACTGCAGTAAAGTCAATATCTTAGCTGTGCTGGGCAACTTATCAATGGCTTTTATAAATGCAGGATTAAAAGTTAGTTTTTTCGCTGCTTTGAGACTTGAATAAGCTTCTGGTATAATCATGTTCTAATGTTGTAACAGCTTTGATTTTTTTAGAAACAATGGTCTTGGTTTTCCTTTTAGTGCACCCTAGAAACAAAAAACTTCACTATCAGAAACAAATAAAACAGCGTACTGGTATAAGTTTATCTATACTAATTCTAGCTATGCCAATATTAGCTTATATGTAGTTAATTCCTACTTAAACTCATGAAAGTAGGAATAAACATTTTACATATAATAATATTAATAATTCTTTATTTCAGATTTCAAAGATCCATAAGTTATTTGCTTAGGTTAGTATTTGAGAACGTTAAATAAAATCAAATTATATCAAAACTAAAATCAAATATAAACCCAAAATGAATTCACAATGAAATCAAACTAAAAACAATAATCATAATATAATAGTAATGTCAAAATAAAATTAACACAAAATACAATCAAATAAAAATCAATCGAAATCAGGTAACGTCGGTTAAATTAAATTAAATCAAAATAAAATAAAATATCGAAATAAAGTCAATTTGTATTTTTTTGTATTTTAAAATAACCCTCCTCACAAAGCAGGCCCAAAGCGGAAACGTGACGTACACTTGCGAATAATGGCTTGGTATTCTGCAAACATCGCTGATGCACGAAAGACGACGAAACGAGGCAATCCCAACAACCTCCTTAATACATTAATATATTGGACTCGTAGGGTGTTCAGTGATTTCTTGTTATACCTGGCTTACAGATTTTCCGTGTACATATTTTGGCAATATGCATTAAAAAGGGTCACCTTTACTTGTTCGCTACAACTATAGAATCTACGTTAAGCACAATAGCAACTTTTCGCTGTGTTAGCCCTTTAAGCACAATAGCAACTTCACGCTCTGTCAGCCCTTGGTCAATTAATGCTACTGCTTGTACAACTTGTGCTCCTGTTAATGGCATTTTTATTAGTTTTAAAGCCCCTTTAGTTATTGAATTAAGACAAAAGATCACAATAATTGAATAAACTTACAATAAACTTTTCACAACACAAATTTAAAATGTGAACTTAGTCGCCCAAATGACCCGATTCAACCAAAAATTAAAGAATTCATCATGGTGCACTTAAATATAATGAATTGCCCTCTTCAGCTTGAGGGTAAACATTTTTTGACATACCCGCATCACAAACATTCATCAGAAACACTTAAAGCTTTTGATATCGCGAGATAAGTGCTTGGCCAAGATTCTGTGCCGCTTAGGTATTTAACCTTATCGACACTTTTAGCGATTTTATTGAATTTGATTAACGCTTTTGGAAACCATCACGAATTCTAGGGCTATTGAATTGCACAACTATCGATTTTGGACGGGTGCTAGTGGTGTTCTGCTTTGCAACACGTGTAACGTTATGAATATTACCTTCTTCAAGATCGTGTGAAATAACTTGCTTATGTTCATTACTGTGGATACAAGGTTTTCACTTTTGAATTCTGGCAAACATTGAATCTCGACGTTACATGATCGCGAATGTTGCTCTAATAAAGTAACTTTAGCTGTTAGGTCTTTCAGGATGTTCTTAAGGTGTAGTTACTCGTATATTCTCCTTTTAAAGATTTTCAACTTTGGTAAATTTATCTTCTACTGCTGTCTTGATGTCTTCATACTCCGTGTTGATGAAAGTCATGAGCGCTCGCATTTCCTTTATCTATTCACTTATTGATCTCGTTGCGTCGTTGACATAGTTCGCTAATGTCTCATTTAGGTGCTTCGTCAGTTTTTAGGGTTCCGTAGTCAACTAGGAACCCTTATAGTTTCGCCATGTCTGTCTGTCCGTCTGTCCGTCCTCGCTTAATCTCTGTGACCGTTAGCACTAGAAAGCTGAAATTTGGTACAAGTATATTTGTATCAATCACGCCGACAAAGTGGTAAAATAAAAATTGGAAAAAATGTTTTATTAGGGTAGCCCCTCTATATGTAAAGTGGAAAGTGATTTTTTTTTAATTTCAACCCTAACGTGTGATATATTGTTGGAAAGGTATTTAAAATGAATTTTTAAATACCACTTTTTACTACACGGGGTTTACTAAAATCATTTTTTGATAATGTCAATAATTTCGGAAATAATCGCTCCAAAAGTTCAAAACAATGTGTCCCCCCCCCCCCCCTCTAACTTTTGAACCATAAGTTTAGAAAATGTGAAAAAAATCTGAAAAGTAGAACTTTATAAGGACTTTCTAGGAAAATCATTTTGAACTTGGATTGAAACAACAGTCAGTACCCACTACCGGGAGCAGTTGCAGGAGCGCGGAGCGCTGCTGGAGTGCGAACATAATGGATACCCACCTTTAAACTCATAAGTGGGAACACTTATTGTGACGGACGGGAAACAACGGAACCCCACACTGAGCGTGTCCCGACATGCTCTTGGCTGCTTTTATTCAATTTCCCGCTTAATAATTATGGTTACCTTTCTTGACGAAACAGGATTATCGCTTAATGAGTCGTAATTTTTCTCAATAACAGCCTCTTTTTTTAGATTGGGAGTGTTATATTAGAAGGATCGTTCTGTAGATTACGTGCACCAGACTTTTTTTTAATAAGTATGTTTTATGTATTTATAATTAATGGTTTCTTATATTTACGCAAACACTGCTGCACATTGAATAAAACTACTTTTATGGAGTTTATCGAGTTGAATTTAATTTATTTTTAATTTCCGAAGTTTCGGTTGCTTTTGAGCACCCATTTTTTATTATGTGCGAGCAGTTATGCAAGTCTAGGGAAAGAGTAAGACCAGTATCACTGCGACCTAAATGATCTATTGTGATCGCTGCTACGGCTGTAGTTCACTGCTAAGCTCTATGTCTTCAATGAATAGAAGGAGTTGCTTAGCCGTGAGAACTTTCACTTCTTCTGGGCGGAGTACATAGTTTCCCAGATGAGTGTTACTTCCGTTATGGAACAGAACCAGCACATCCTTGAGTTGCTTAGTCCCAGGATGGACATGTGCTTTTTAAGACAACAGTGTCCAGTTAGGGCTCTTGCCAGAATGCGCAATTTATTTTTACTTAATCCCAGGGATTCTGAAGCGAATTTACGATCAAAAGCCCGGATTAAGGTTTTAGAATGTTTTAAGCCTGGTGTGTCAGACCAAATCTTAAGTGTTTTATTGTGATAAAGAGTTTCAGGGGTCAATCGGGCTAGGCTTCTTGAGATTCCACAAAATGGCTCAGGTCCAAATTGTGTGCACTTTGAGCCCTCCCGTGCAAGTTTGTCGGCAAATTCGTTGCCTACAATACCCTCGTGACCCGGAACCCATCTTAAAACGACCCTGTTGTTACATCCCAGGGCGTTTAAGGCTTGTATTCACGCTAATGGCCTTGTGCATTTAAGCGGAGCTAACGACACCTCTCCGCGCCACTCCGCTACCCGTATGCGACAGAAAAGATGCGCCGCGGCCCGCGCCTTGCCGCCACTTGCGTTGCCGCGCTTTGTCTGGTCACAGAGTGGCGAAATAACAGAAGGTCAAATCATCGTGAAAGTTAAATTAATTTTTATGTGTAGCGCATTTATAGTGGTCCAATTTTGTTTTTATTTATTATCTGTTGACATGGATGTACTTTTCGGGCTATAGTTACGAATAAAATTGTTAAACGCTTTCGAGGCCGCGGGTAGAAACTATACCTTTAGTATAAATCAGCCTGGTCATGTTTCAACATGATGTATCTTTTTAATTATATTTTATATAAATAGAAATGAATGGCTAAATGTGTGTTGCTAAACGCAACACTCAAGAATGGCGGGACCAACTCGGTTAATATATTTTTATCAAATATTCTTTAAAGTCTGAGAAAGGTTTCTAGGTAGGGTAGGTAGTGTAGGTAGTGTAGGTAGGTAGGTAGGTAAAGTAGGTAGCTAAGTAGGTAGAATTAGCACAAGTGTATGTCATATTATATGTTGTATTTTTTATAAACAAATAGAATATAACTAAAATTCACTGAAATTTAAGTTTCTTTCACCAAGTATTTTTATTCTTTTGGTTGGTTGAACTTCTTTATCCTCACTTATTTCTCCGTGTTCACATATATTTACATTCGGAAATTTCGATAGCCCGACAAAATCTTCTTTTTTTTCTTCTTCGTTCTCGTTGTCTTCATTTTTCTCTTCAACCTCTTTTTCTTTCCTTAGTTCTATTTCCTTCTCTTTGTCGTTTTCTTTTTTCTCTTGTACAGCGTCTTCTTGTAATTCATTGTCTTTTTTTATTTTGATTTAAATCATTTTGTTTTCTTTTTTTGGGTAGTTTATTTTTATTTGCGCTTTCTTCCACAGCTTTTTCTATATAAATAGGGTCTCTAATTTTCATTTTTCTCGTATGTCTTCGATATCAATGAGTTCTAGTAATATGCAATCCAAATAAAACCTAGTTAATTTATTTTCCATTACGTCTTTCCATAACTTGTCATCTTTTTCTGTTATGTTAATTTTCATGGGAATATTTTCACCCAGCCATATTCCAAAAAAGCATCTTATTCTTTTGGTTATGTGAAGCTGACCCTGAATCTGGTAATACCAATTATGATTGGTGTTAATAATAATCGTACCAGTTTTATCGGTTTTATAAAAGGGTATTTTTTTTGTAACTGCTTCGGTAAAACTTAGTTGGTGAGCTGCAACAGGGCATTAAATTTCTACCACCATGTTTTTCTCGACACATATACCGTCAGGAATAGCGCCTAGATATGGCAATTCGTCGTCAATAAATAAACCGCATGGTTGTATAACCAATCCAGTGTCTTTCGAAATTTGCTCAAGAGCTATTTTTTTCATTTTCAGTCCCATTTTTTATTGATTTGACGTGACTAATGCTCTTTATATAGTTAATCTTTTACTAGGTTACTACAACTGATATTTGAACGCCTCTTTATAATTCGGCCGAAGTTAGAGGCTGTTAACAATTTCCTTCTCAATTCCAGCCATTCACTGCATAAACTCTGTAAAATAATATCTTTTTCAATTTTTTTCTCTTTCTTCTTTGCTTTTCTTTAAATTATTGATGAAAGTAATTTTTTCTTTTTTCTTTCTCCATTATTTTTGGAATTATATCCTCTAGCACAATTTTCACCATAATTTATATCTTCTCCTTTGCTAAATAATAATCTATTCCTTTTTCTCACGCCTTTCGTTTTTAAGTATTTTTTTTTCAGTAACCTTTGCTCAAGCAGCTTCACTTTTCCTTTAGGACTTTTTCCGGTGGCATATTTATAAGTCGTTGATAATAATGCACGAGTGTTATGTGATATTGCGGCACCTTTGCATCTGTTTTCATATCCACCTTTCAGGCTATAATTTATACGTTTTTCCGCCAACTAATTTAGCGATTATGCTATTGTAACTTTCAGCTTTATTACTTTCCACATTATGTATGAGACTGGGTACGTGAGATGCAACGTTTGACATAATTTGGCAAATTTTGCTCCAAAGAGTGCTTGTTCTAAATTCATTATCGCTAGTGTCTTCCGTATTAGGTTTGTTGCAGAAATATTGCTTGCAAGCACTATGGTCACCAAAGGTATGTATATGAGTCTGTAATATATCCTTATAAAGAAGTTCAACGTGTGCTCGTTTCTCGGATTCTAAATCGGATGTTTGCTTTTCAATTGCCTTTTTTATTGAAAATCAGATTGCCTTTATTTTTTGGTCTGTAATATTTTTTCTATAACGCAGAGGGTACTTGGTGTCAGTTTTCAATTGTGATAGCTTATTACATGAATTTCGCATTATGTGATTTTGCACTCGATTTTTTGTACTGTTGTATTGCAGTATGGACGAGTTTCAATGATTTTGGAAATATGTGGCGGAATCTCCATCACTTATCATCCTTCCATAAATCAGCCCGTGCATGTAAATGGAAAATTTAAATCCTTCAACAAGTATAGATGACTCCATTCCTGTTGAAGGACCTGTATAATTTTTAAAGCATTTATGTTCACGAGGCAACACTTTTTTATACTCTGCCTGTGCGCAAATACAACAGTACTTATTTTTAATACCGATGAACAGAATCTTCCCTTTTTTTTCCAATAATGACTGCTGCTCCTGATAACGCAGAGTAATTTTTTTCTATAGTTGCGTTTACTCCAACAACCGTCGATTTTTTTTTTTTGCGCCCGAAGCAAATATGGGCAACCCTCCGGAAAGCGGGGGAGGGAGGTTGAGAATGCTCATAGCATACCACGCAGCCGGCTGCGTGGTTATGTGGAGACTTTTACCCACTAAACTCAACCTTTTGGTAATTGGCTTAACGATCTGACTAGAGATCTCTAAGCCGTATACGAACGCGACCCTCCTTGGCAGAAAGGAGGGCGCAAGCGGCGTAAAGCCGCTTAGAAAAGTGCCTAACTAAGGCAGATTAATGGATGTGTTATGTAGGCTCGGCCCGAGCCGCCAGGAGGCAGTTCAGGTCAGCCGAAAGCTTGTTGGGGGGAACAACCGTCGACAATTACGTCAATAATAGGAACACCATTTTCATCTATACGACCTTGCAGTAAGGCAAACTCTCGTTCTTCTTTCGCGGCATCGGTCATTGTTTTAAGTGAAATTCCTTCCCATATATTCGATATGTTTTCATGGCATTTTTGGTACATGTTGAAAGATATTGAAGGTAAATCTAAAGAGGCAGATAGCTCTTGGAGTTGTGAATGATCACAACCAATTGCCACTGTCCCTAAAACTGCACAATTGTTGATGTTCATTTCACTACCTTCATCGCTGGAGATAAAAAATTGCATGTTGCATAATTTGCATTGAAGCGTAAAAGTTGATTGATAACCGATTTGTTTTCCAGAAACAATTTCCACGCTACCGAGACCACAATTGAAAGGTCCATGCAAAGACCTCTTGTAATTTTGAATAAAATGTTTTTAAATTAAGAATTCTTCGACCTTCAAGTTGATATGTTTTCTCTGAAGATTCGGCCGTGTCTACCTGTAAATAATTAGTATGATTTTAAGCTAAAATTAAATTATTCAAGATGTGCACGATCAAATCGATAGTACATACTTCACAAGGAGCTGAATAATCTTCAAGTTCTTCAACAGACCTTACAACATGCTTGTGAGTCAACATGTCAATCGGTGGAGAACGTAGTTTTTGAGTGCCCAAATCATCTTGTGCCTAAAATGAAAGCAGTTATACATATAGTTACAATAAAAATAAAAATCATCTTGTGCCTAAAATGAAAGCAGTTATACATATAGTTACAATAAAATATGTTTATGTAGTAATTACAAATTATTACTTACATTCACCTCCATATCCATAGAATCACCTTCAACTTCTCTGATAGAGCTAATTGATTCACTACATAAGAGTAGTGATTTTTTTATTTGATTTACCTCACCAAAACATTCCTAAAAAAATATTTATATGATTAGATAAATAAAATTGCATGTCAAGTTTATTTCTTTGTATAATATATAATGAATAAATAAACTATATAATGAATAAATAAAAAAGATTAAATTAAAACATAAACATAATATATTTATTATTGAAAATAATTAAGCCGGTAATCGATAAATTAACAAATTACTAGCAAGTACCTAACCTATAATCATAATTACATACCTACTTCAGGAGCATTTTCATTTTTGCCAAAGTTTTCGTCGGTAGTTGTAGCTAAACAAGACCTGCAAAAAAATTCACTTGTCATAAATAATCACAACGAATCAGAATAAATTAATAAATAAATATACTTTACATAAGTACCAAAAAGAATAATGGAGTGGCCTTTAATAAGGATTGACTGAAAGTATTGCGTGAATATGGTCCTTCTGTGATCATTCACTTCTCTATGGCACAGAAGTATTATACTTACGACGACTTTGTTTGAATATAGGTATTTTATAAACAACACCTGTCTAATATTATGAAATATGTAGATAAAACTTAAAACTAACCTTGATAAATGAAAAATATACCTTACCTTGAAAAATATACCCTTTTGTTTGTAATATTTTTTTAGACCTCTCTTCAATCGTTTCTGCTTATTCCCCATGTTTTACAAACTAAACTTTACAATTGAACTCGATGATTGACTTGAACAATTCAAACAAAAGAATTAAACAAATTAGAAATAGCTTGGTAGCGATCACCCGTCCCAGGGGTTATTATCATCCATAAATTCCTTAATATTATAATAACCCTTTTTATAGAAACTTATTTTAATAACATTTTTGAACTTTGTGTATATATAATTTTGTATATTTTCTGGGATTTTGTTGTAAAAGCGTATACATCGCCCCAAGAATAAATTACTGACTCGGTGGAGTTGAGTAACTGGTACTACTCATCATCACAACCATCACAAACTATATTATTTTCTTTCATTGATATTGTTTTCATATATCATCATCACCATTAAAGCCCACCCAAGCCTACAGCAAGTCCATGGCTGAACATGGACCGTCCGTATAAGGAATGATCTTAAGCCACCACATCCATTAACCCCCTGCATGGTTCAGGCTCAGGTTGTTGTAGCTTCATCTAGAATATCTCGACATCATTTTTAGGTGGTAGAGCCATGCTGCAGTTATATTAGTAGTATAGTTGTAGCACGAAGTAAAAAAATTATTTTAATAAAAATGATATTTTTTGAATTCAATGCTGTTTTGTTAAGTTTCCATCACTAAAACCAAAACCATACATAGGATCTAATCTTGTATTATTTATTATTATTCATTTAATAATTAATAAATATATATTCAATCACAAAATCTTTCAATATAAATTTCATACATTTACATCCGGCAGTCGGGTACAACCGTATATCCTCTAGTAGATAAGTACTTATTTTGCTTATTTAGCACACCGTACCAGGAATGTGACGTCATCGAGCGAGGTGCAGAGATAATGTGACGGAGCTGTAGAGATGGCACTAATGGAAGTGTTTACGATATAAAATGTAATGTATTTTTTTTGTTAATCACGATAATGTTAAAGATTTACTTAGTACCTTAAAATGTTTTAACTTTTTTATGATAATATTTTATTATTTAGTATAAAAATAAAAATATTTCTTTTAGAAATATATAGTTTCATTTCGTAAAAAAATACAATTTATTTTTAAAATGATACTGAAAAGGTATTATTTTATATAAGTACTTGACCGTGGAAGGAAAAGGAGAGATCTCTCTCAGGGCAATAGTCTTGCGTAGTTCGCGAACGATGAACGATTGGGAAACGTATCTCATACCCCTATTACACTACCCTGAATCAGGCTCCTTACGCCCTGATTCAGGGTGGTGTAATAAGAGAAAGGGAGTAAGGGTTCCTAATTAGGGTATCAAAGTGGACCCGGTCTGCTGTGCCATTCCACCATTAATTGTAATAACACTAAGGGAGTTAGGGCATTTATTCGATGAGGGATGCAAACGATACATCAATTCTTTCAAACATCGATATATCGTTCATAAACATGGTTCTTCATGAGCTATGTTTTATGAACGATGTTTTGTTGTCAAAGGTTACGAAATAACCAACTATTCGAAGGTATAAAATTCCGTATGTTAAAAGTTGCGAACGATGATTATCACGAATTTTATGTTGCCAAAAAATAAATATTCGAAAGAAAATATGTCAAAGTTAGATAACGTCTAAATTTTTAAAGTTAGGTTTACGAGTATTTAGCAGAAATAACTCAATCCCGAAAATTTTAATTACGAATCAACAAACAGGCGAATGGTCTTTCAGCCGAAAATAAATATACTTGAACTTATAGAAGTACAATTATCTTCTATCTTTCTAAACTTGCAGTTATTTTAATTGTGATAATTAATTAAGATTTTTAGTTTACAAATATTGAAAATGGATTGATATTGTTTTATTCATTTTCTCATTAATAATTGTATTGTTTGAGCTTTAACTTAATGAATAGCTTAAGTACAGTCATATAAGTTAATAGTTATTTTGTAACGGAAATTATTTTATCGGCTTACGGTACTTCGTTTTTCGTTACAATCATTTTTCTGAAATATTGATTTTTATGTATTGAACGGTTATTCATCTGTTTGTATTTCGGTATAGTTTCGTAGATGAATACAGAAAATGCAATAATACTGAAGGTAACATATGGAAATATCATAAAAAATAACGCACCACATCATAAGAAATAAAGTTAAAGCAGAAGACGAGTTTCATATACTACATGTGGGATATCATAAAAGGGTTATTTTCCGGGCTTCATAGCCTAGATAAGATCTATTTGCCTATCGTGGCAACTTCTGTATCCCGTAAGCGGTTATTTTCAGAGGCTGGATCTACAATCACCTAAGAGAGAAACCACTTTCTAGGCACCAGGTTCTCAAAATTGTTATTTTAAAATTCAATTCGAAAAATAAACGAAAAAAAATTTAACTAATTCTTGTTTTATGATAATTATACGATAAAATTAAATGTGTGAAAATAAAAGGTGTAAAAGTTCCTAAAATAACATAAATATAATGTTTGATTATTATACTTCTTTGTTTGATTTCTGTTCAAAATGATTATTTATTCCTTACGTATGTTTGTATATATTTAAATGATGATAAAAACACCAACAAAATCGATGTATCTTACATAAGCTTTGATGATTTTAATGAGCGATGTTGCATCCTATAAATGTGCTTACTTGGAAAAATTACGACTCGAATTAACTCAAGTTCAAATTCACACAACTCGAACTAAACTCGAATTACGCAACTAGAGTTAGCAGGACGAAACACACTAAAGATTTGTTACAATTACTTTAAAAATATCGATTCAATAAATATATACCTATACTGTTTTCACTTGTCCATCCCTATGACTGAGTAATAGCGTAAAATCAGGGTAGTGTAATAACTGACGTCCCTAATTAGGGGCCACGCCCACCCTTCATTCAGGGCCCTGATTTAGGGTGGTGTAATAGGGGCATTAGCACTATACTAGAAGAAACATGTCCAACTCTCTCTGTATACCTACACTCGCAAGATGCAAGACGCCAGACCACAGTATAATAAAGACATACATTAGGACGTACAGTACGCCGGAGACGGTCGAACGGCGTTAAAATGATCCGCTCGCATGATTTCATTTCCGACGGTAGACGCAGTCAGATGCAAGACGGCCAATAGAATGATGAACGATGAGTCGACTGCCGGACGAATGTACCTTATCACTCCAACAAAAGAACAGGCATCGCGGCGGCCATTCTGGGGAAACAACTGCCAAATATAAGTAAACAGCCGTCGCGACGGCCTTAGGAGAAGTCGACTGCCGATCGATCACTTGTGAACAGCTGTAGCGGTATCTGATCGGCGTTAAGCCGAGAAGTGTTATGATACGCACTCGGCTTAAGCCGATTCCGCGTCGATAAATGTGAGGACTCCCTTAGCGGCCCGCTGCTACTTTTTTCATCAACTCTCGTCGAATAGCCTTTACGTACACATCTCAGCTTCGGCTTAGCGGGAGCTTCCTTTTCCTTTTACGACCAAAATCGCTTTTATTAATTGCATAGGACATTTTTGTAGAGATTTAGTGTAATAGTATTTGTTTGTCTTTACTTTAGATATATTGACGGTCCAGATAACTGTAGCACGTTCCTACGTGGTAGAGCCATGCTGCAGTTATATTAGAAGTATAGTTGTAGCACGAATGGTCGGCTCGACCGGGGAAGGACCAAGCTCTCACAGAATACCAGCGTGAAATAGTAGCTTAATGCTGCTAAGGTTATGACAAGATGTGACTTTTGCAATGTATTTATGAGATGTGGGATGATGTTTCTTAGACAGTAATAAATATATAGTGATATAAAATAATACTGCTGGTATCGTATGGTGAGTGTAGAGAACCGGAGACCCTTTTTACTGGAAACGAGGCATTCCATCTTAGTCCTCACGGGTGACAACGCATCTGCATTTTGATTCGTAATCGAAGATAGATGTGGATGTCTATGGGCCAAAGCAAACACTTAACATCAGGTGGACTGTGTGCTCGTTTGTCACCCTATCCTATAAAAAAAAAAAAGAATTCAAACAAACAATTCGGGAAAACAAGATTCTACTACAAACATAAATGTGAAAAGGGGCAAGTTTGAGGTTATTGTCTTCGATGATAAACAGTGTTGGATTAAGCAAGCGCGGGGCCCGAGGCAAGTTATATAGAGGGGCCCTTGATCTGCTATGAGTCCTTAAGTATAAAGTGGTAAATAAAGGTAATTAAACACTCAGTACATTTTTCATCTATAGGTTACAATTTTGTTGGTGTTAAAATAGTACAGTAGATTATTATAGGCCCCGTTGGACTCTGCCAAGTACAAAAAGCAAGGGATGAGATTGTCTTGGTAATTAAGAATGATTTTGATAAGTAACTAACAATTTGAAACCGAAGGTATATAATTGTAAACCTTTTTAGTACATATTTCAAAGTTTATATTTATTACAAAGTACTTACATTATAGTTTTTAGGAATAGCTAATGTAATATTTTATCAGTGGCGTATTTTACATTATGTATATTAAGTATATTTATTTACGTTTCTTTTATTACTTTTTAAACGTTTTACAAAGTAACTTTTCTAGATATCATAATATGGGTAAATTTAGAAATAATACTGTCCGTTATTTCTCTAAGCAAATCATATTCTATATTCATCAGAAAAATAATTCAGG